AAAACAGAAAGGACAAAAACACAGACAAGATTATTGGAATTTCAATTATTTAGAATGTTTGAGATTAAAAATATTGTAAAAGGACCAACGTGGGCATATTTACAAGATTTCCTAGAAATTTATTCAACTTTAGAGATTTTGTTTTTGTTTCTCAAGTGTCTGTAGTCTTAATTAGAAGACTGAGTAGAGTTTTATAATTTGTGACTAGACTCTTGCAGTAATCCAACAATTTTACAGCAATAGTCATATTTTTCAGCCAATATTGTGAAGCATTGCAAAACTTGATTCCACTGCAGATAACCGTTGTTCTAGTGCTTTCAGTATTGTTTCTGCCTGTTAAATACAATTTTTAAAAAATCAATTTAATATACCATTTTTCTCCTACTTCATCAGTACAATCTGAGGACAGTCAGAGCGGATACTACCTTTCATTCCCCTATCTTATAACTGATATAATAGGGATTTGGAATTGCATGATACATTGATCTCAAATCAGCATTGTGCAAAAAGCTTAAGCAGTTGCATGAACATATAAAACTAGTGCTAATATATGTTTAATCAGAAAAACAATTATATTTTCATACAAAAGTACAAAGGAAAGAATAAAGAAATGTATTTCTTTTCCACCCAAATTTTCCCTTAGCTGCTATTGGCAGAATTTTACTTATGTATGAATAAAAGATTTTAAGAATCCATCATAATACATCTAAATAAATAAGGATGAAAGGCAAAATATAAATACAGAATAATTATCTTACCCTTCCTAATGATTCTTCTAAATTAGCTCGACTTTCAAGTGTGAGAGGTTCCTCATCAATGTCAGCTTTTTGTTCTGATGACCCTAAGGTATAACTTAGACATTTATAGTTATAAGTAGCATAACAATCATTTATGGGAACAATCATAACTATAGAACTTACTGCAATAGAATCCGTCAATGGCAGTGATTAAGGAAAAGAAAACAATTCTCATTTTTCTGTAGTAGTAATGATTAACACTAATATTACTAATGAGTCTTATGAATTCAAAACCTAAGTAAATGATCAACCAATTCAATGTCATTTTAAAAAGAATGTCCAGAAGACCCTTGTAACTTTCTGTTTTCACTTGTTCACTAAGAATATTTGATTTTTATTGGTCAAGTGTTTCTGAAAATAAAGAGGACTGATTCCCACCCAAGTATGGAGATTTGCAGGACAGCTGTGTTAATCTATGGTAGCAAAAAATCACAAAGAATGTAGTAGCATCTTTCCAACATATTTTGATTAACATTTATTACATTTTTATTAAAAGGCATAAGATTCTGTGAGCTGTGTTTTAATGACATTAGTTAATTGAAAAATGTGCTATTAAATTATTATTTTTTTTCATTTACAGATGGCTCTATTTTATTCCCACATTGAGATTTAGAACCAAAAATTTTAAAAAAGAAAAACCATTGTGATTAGAATTATGCAAACACCAAAATTCTAAGTAAACAATATATACACAATGTCAACAGTGTTAAAGTACTACTATAGATATGTGATTATAACTCCTTATCTCTGGAACTTATATAGACTTATTTTTTCATAAAGAGATGGATATAATATTTGAGGGAGAAAGAAGAAATGAAAGAATCTCAGTGCTTGAAATCAAACAAAAACGAGGGCTGCCATTTCTGATGTATTTTTCTTCTTCCACAAAACAGTAGCACAAAAAATGATGCTTCATAAATTTAAAGCAATAGGTAATAAATATTATTCCATTAGACTTGAAACATTCCATTTGCCTTTGCAGCAAAATAAAAATCTGTAATTGAAGAAGTTAAATCTCTGAAGTAACCAATTCTACTTAAGACAGTGGTTCTCAACCTTTTTAATGCCACGACCCCCAACCGGTCGTAAGTCGAGGACTACTCAACCGGCCGTAAGTCGAGGACTACTCAACTGGTGCAGCACCGTTTGCAGAATGGGACTTTTGGCGGGCTCAGCAGGGCAGAGACAGCCTGGACAATTCCTATTGGCTTTTGAAAGCCAATAGAATTAGACTCTATTCAAGAGAGTCTATTCTATTGGCTTTCAAAAGCCAATAGAATAAAAGGGAGTAGCACAGCTAAGGAAAGGGGGGGGGGAAATGGCGGACTGCGTTGTTTGGCGACTCCTGTGAAATGGTCGTTCGACCCCAAATGGGGTCCCGACCCACAGGTTGAGAACCACTGACTTAAGAGATTATAAGGAAAATGTGATTAGCAAGTTCCATTGTAAGTTCACTTACCTTTCTAGAGAGTCTATGTTTAAGCAAAACAAATCTCGTTTATAGTCAAGATGTCTTGGGGTACATCTATAAATGTTTCCAAGGTTCAGGTTGCAGCCAGAGCAAAACAAGGTTTCAAGAATACTGTAAAGCAAAACATCAGATTTTTAATAATATGCTCTAATTTAGATTTCCTGCAAATGAAGCAAATAATACTGAAAGTTCCTGGAGAAACAGACATAATCTCTTACAGATTTTATCCTCACATTCAGGGTTTGATCTCCCATTTTCCTTCCTCTTGCCTCTTGATTTCAAAAAAATGAAAAAAATGTACTATGTTGTGATAATGAATTGGTCTAACACAAATATTACTATTAGTTTGCTGGATTCAGATAAATTAAACAGTAGGGCATCTAAATATGGTTACTATTAAACTACATGGGCATGTCAAACAAAAAAACCCCACTTTGATCAAAAATAATCAGCTACACCAACGTGAAGTTCTGCTATAGGTCAATTATAACTTTCATTCTGAAGTTCTAATCATAACTTACCAGCCAGTTTCACCTGCCTGGCTTGAAAGTTTTTGCTCTTTGTGTACTGAGACATTGAGTGTAACACCTGAAATGTGAAAGGTACACATCAAAGCAGCAGAAACAAAATGTTCTCTTAAAAAGGCAGGCCACTTTAACAAACCAAAGAATACAGAAAGCAATGTCAAGATTGTATGATAGTCTTCGGGCCAAGAAAGATAACAAAGCTTTTGGTTTAACAATTAAAGCATTTATATTCCATTCCAAGGGGGGGGGCATAAAAACCGCCATTCAAATGAATATGTAACATAGAAAACTAAAAGTGAGTTAAAAAAAAACAATACAATGCAGTGAAACAGCATATGCAACCTAAGCAACAGATAAACCAGCTTTGTTGAACATGAAATTTGTTGCAGATCACAAATTCAAACTGCAACTTAACTTGGGTTTGGGATTCCGCAACTGAAGTTCAACAATCAACAAACATTATTGAGTTCTTAGAAAAAAAGAAATCTAAATAATCTGAGAATGGGAGAAAAGTTTAGCCTAGAAGAGACTGTTGCCGACTACAGGTAGTCCTCAACTTACAACCACAATTGAGCTCACAACTTGTTGTTAAGTGAGACATTTGCTAAGTGAATTTCGCCCCATTTTACGCCCTTTCTTGCCAGTTATCTTGCCAACTTATCACTGCAGTTGATAAGTTGGTAACATGGCTGTTAAGGAAATCTGGCTTCCCCCTTGATTTTGCTTGTCCAAAGGTTGCAAAAGGCAACCACGTGACCTTCGGAAACAGCAACCGTAAGTACGAACCAGTTGCGAAGCATCTGAATTTTGATCACACGGATCATGGGGAGGCTACAAAGGTTGTAAAGGTGATAATGGACGTAAGTCACTTTTTTTGAGAACGGTCACTCAATGAACTGTTGTAAGTCGACGACTACCTGTACTACGTTACTTGTTAACAGAGAACCGCAACCAGAGAAAGACATGAATGACAGAAAGTCTTTGGCCACTGCCTAAACCACAAGCAGGCCGTACGCGCCTCGAGGAATGGAACGGAGTGCTCGCGCACGCGTGGGAAAAGAATTTCGACCAACCGCGCGCAGCGTTGCTAGGTAGCCGCGCGCGTTTCCCCCCCCCCCCACTGACTCTTAAGCAGGATGCAATTGGTGTCCTCGTCGTTAGTCTCCCAGCTGAGCGTGTCTCCTACAGGCCGTTTGCATCCGGCGCAGAGGAACACCATAGGCAGGTCCTCTGCACCCGGCCCTTCCTGGTTATCGGGCCCTAGTTTGTCAGAAAATGTTTCCATCGGCAGAGAGCTTTCTTCAAATGGAAACGCCGCCATTTTTTTTCCAAGCCACCCGCGCCGAACTCCGCCTCCTCTCTTGCCTCAGTACCGGAAATAATGGGCGGCCCCTCTCTACAAGGTTGTTTCGTTTTCTTTCCCAAGGAGAGGAGGCAGAAGCAGTCGCGGGGCAGGAGAAAGGAGGGAGAATTTGTGCGCATGCGCACTAACTCACGCTCTCCCGCCACCTGCAAAGGCCTGCGTTGATGGATTCGCGGTGGAAGCTGTTTGAACGCGAACAGCTTAGAGCTGAGCTTGATGGTTTGCGAGCGCGTTTCGCCTGAAGAACGAGAAATATGGACGCCAGTTTCATTTAGTTCTGAATCGTGGCTTGCATTTAGATTGTACTATTCTCTAATGCACTACTGTACTATTTTTTAAAAAAAACCGCGTAAATGTATAAAAAAACAAAAGAAATTTGTGATAAAGCCTAAACGTGTGTTACAGGTAGTCGTGGGGACCCTGCTGGGCCTCTCAAACGTTTATACTTCTTGGGATTCAGATAGCTGAATCACCCAAACCCTACCCCAAAATGAAGTTTTTAATTAAATCTATTATGTAACTCTTGTCAAATTTCTATCAAGAGACTTGACAAGCAGCATCTGATATTCTAAAATGAATTTAAACAGTTGTTTAACAATCTGAATTTAAAATATTTTGTACCGTTGGCATTAGATTCTAGCACAAACAAACAATAACAGAGGGGGCCATGGCTCATACAAGAGACATTCAGTGTCATTTTAGCATTTGGCAGCTGTTACAGCAGAAATGAAGGTCAGCCTGAATAGTTCTGCTATGTCAAGGTAATTAAGGATGTCAAATCAGAAATTATTCACACAATTACAGCGTGTCATTATGGAAACACTGTAGTTTTGTGCTGGATCTATTAGAGTACCAAGCTACCTTGGTTGTATTACTGAAATGACTAATGCAACAAATTATACTGTGCCCTATGAATATTACCTGGATTACTTTGATCTACCTCCAGTTGATGCAAGTAATTTGAAAGCCAACAGATGTAAGTACTGCTGTTCTTTCCACTATGTAGGAATAAATATTTTATCCCCCCTTAAATGAAAGGGTAAGTCATTCAGTTATAAATATCTTAGGGTAGGAGAAATCTAGCTCAGGGAAACCTTGAATTCTAGGGGTGGAGATACGTGTAATCTTCCCTGCCTTCATAGGGGCAGGTTTTTGATGGCAGTGTTACACCTGGAATACAAAGGAAATAGATCCTAAGCATGTTTTATTTAAACAAAAATGTATTTAATTTTAATGGGTTGAACTAGAAAAATATCTCTTGAAAGTAACTAGGCACACACCTGCAACTTTAGTTATGTTTAAGACTGTCAAAATCAACATTTAACTTTCACTACTACTGTACCTTAATACGTATTGATCTCAGTAAGTCTCAGCCAAACTGAGGATGATAGCTTCCATTTGTAGTGGAAATGTTGCATACATTTTAAATATAGCACTGAAGACAACCTCTTGAATAATTAAACAATAAAGGCCATGTATATTATATGTATATAAATATGCTGATATTTATATTTATTTGAAGAGTTCTAATTTATTTTTCAACAGATTCAATTGTCATAGGCTTTTGGATTGGACTTGTTTCTTTTGTGGCATTTCTCTTCTTCATTTTGTTCTACATGTCTCGATCTGGTAGAACATCCATGAAGTGAGTGAAATATCTTTTATTCTACAAATGGTTTTGTAGTTATAAAGTTTGTACAGCTCTAGAAAAATTGGTATACTGAAAATAGAAGCTGGAAGGGACTTTGGACGTGCTCCTAGTCCAGCCCCGTTCAAGCAGGACGACCTATACCATCTCAGACAAATGACTGTCTAGCCTCTTCTTAAAAATCTCCAGTGATTTCTGGAGGCAAGCTGTTCCACTGGTTAATTGTCCTTACTGTCAGGAAATTTCTCCTTAATTCCATCCAGGTTGCTTCTCTTTGATCAGTTTCCAACCATTGTTTGTTGTCCTGCCCTCTGGAGCTTTGGTGAATAGTATGACCCCCTCTTTTTGGTAGCAGCCCCTCAAATACTGAAATACTGCTATCATGTCTCCCCAACTTACATATAATTTAATAAACCACTGGATTTAAACAGTGGTGGGATTCAGCCAGTTTGCACCAGTTTGGCAGAACCGGTAGCTAATCTTTTGTTGCCAAAGCCCAGAATGGACTTCCAGAAGCACATCCGCACAGAAATCCGGTTGTTCACATATTTGAATCCCACCACTGGATTTAAAATATAACAGTAAATTAAACATAGTTAGGAGAGTTCCTAATTATTTTCAAATCAGTTTTTCTGAAAATACTTTTTCAGCACTTCTTAACGATGGTAAAGTCCTTGTGATGCTTAAGAGTATTTCAAGATACAAATAAATAAACCCAAGCAATTTGTATATTTATCACATGCATTTAGTATTGGAAATGTGCCCAATAACCAAAGAAATTTGTTTGAACCTCAAGAAAAGATATTGAATGGTATCTATTGAATACTGCAGACCTATCAAATTCCTATAAACTTCCTCACTCCCTTCTACAAAATTGGCAGGTTAGATCCAAATTTATTCATGTCAGTTTACTTTAGTTAGAAGATTAGTTTTAACTAAAGTAAATTGAAATAAATTTGGATCTAATCTGCCAAATTTAGTGCTGTTTTATTTTAAAGATTACAATGTTTTACAAAACTTCTACAAATTAGTTTTTACATCATTTTTTGTGGGAAGAATGTCTGCATATGTACTTTTAATTTATACATCTTTGATGTAGTGTTTTATAATTTACAGAATACATTGATCTTATAACCTATTTTACATAGACAACCTCTCAGAAAATGAAGCAATAGTTCCATACAGATAAATATTGTATTGCTGGGCATTGACCAAAGAAATATTACTGGGACTAAACATTACAGAGACATTGTTATTACAAACTTATTTAGCACTGAAACATGCAGTTGAAATCCTTACTGTTATAAAGTTCACTGTGATTTGAGCCAATAAATTACATGAAATTTGATTATCGGTTATTATTGTTCCTCATATGACCTGACAATACTTTAAAGATAGTCAAATTTAATTTAGCAATTTTGTTCCCAGGACTGGAGGATCCAAGAAGTTTCCATGGAATTATTCAGAAACTATTCATCAAAATCTTGTTAATAATGACACTGTACGAACATCTATAGATAACCAAGGAGAAGAAATTGAAGGGCTATGTTCAAATAATAGGTTACCATGTTACCATATGGATAATTCAGTGTAAAATCTTCTCACAAGTGAAATATGAAGCCTGCTACATATTAAAATAGTACAATGTGCTAGGAGGAATACCTTTGTAAAAAACATTTAATCATTCTTTTTAAAAAAATACTTTGGCTTTTTTGTTATATAATAATCATTGTAGTATCTAATACAAAAGGGTAGATTTAACAGAAAATAAATATGAAATCCACAATTTAATTTCTAAAAAAATATCAAATGATTTATACATAGATTAGACAAAATGTTGTTAACTTTACATATACAGTTTAGTGCCTCAAAATCATGCTTCAAATCATTTAGGAAATTGAACAAAACCAAAATCAGATGCTCTACTCTACTGAATTACTACTGGAAATATTACATTACTTGTATTTTTACATGATATACAATTGTTGTAAAAAAAACTGGCTGAATCTGCAGATTGACTTTTGTCCTAATTGAAAATAAATTGTGATTGAACAATATTTAAGACTAATTAAAATGTAGTTATGTTTGAGATTCAGTGAAACAAAATATAGTGGTTTTATATTATAAATTATTCACTTTCTAAAATACAAATATTTGTTATGTATGTATATGCAACATTAAAGTTGCACGTCCTTTTATCTGCCTAGAATATATCTATTAGAAGCAGCATTATTATAAAAATTTAAAAACATTTTTTTCTGTTTCTGTAATGCAATGTACACAATAGTGTTGGGCAAAATTTTCCAATGACAATATAGTTCATTTTCTAAGAATTACTGGAAATGTAATAATCAGGTTGGATCATTTTTTCCATTTTTGGTAGCAATGCTGCAAAACTCAACAACACTGAAAAACAATCTCTAATGGATTGAAACAATTTATAAAAGGTTAGTTTCCTTTCCAACCAATTTAATTAAATATATCAAAGTTTATATCCCCACAAAGTACACTGGAGCAGCTTTGTACATGTTAATTGCTGCAAGGACTCTTTACACTTCTGATAGAAAAGTACACAGAATTCCTTCCTAGAATAATGGCTAATTAAGCTGTAGGAGTATACCTCTATGTCCAAAATAACTTCCATATTTCTAAAGTAAATCTGACGCAGAATGTACTTCAACTTGGAAACCATTTAAGGATCATAATACCATATATGAGTGTGTACTACATCTAAAATTTCAATTCTTTTAGCATAAAGTGATAATATTCCAAATTTCAGTGATCTGTTTCAACAGAAATTACTATCATTCATTATATTACTTTCTGATTTATAATATGCTCATTTTACTGTTTATATATTACTTGGATTTTAAATATAATCATGTAGGATACTCAATTATATAAAACTAATATTGAAAATGTTTTAATAAATTTAATTTTAGCCAATTTGATTTGCTTGTAAATTCCTTATGATTCACTTCATTTTTTCCCTTTCCCCCCTTTTCTATTTGTTTTTTTCTCAAAAATCTTAATATATATTAATAAATATAACAAATTAATTCATAACATAAGTCAGACTTCATTACACCCTTATGGAAAATAGCTAAGCACTTTTTTAAAATGATGTGGCAGATAATTTCTTGTAAATAGATATGACAGACAAGCCTGGTAACATGACAAAGCCAACATAAAACAAAGTATAATCTTGACACTACTATGATTTTGTCTTCTTTCAGTTTTTTCTGGACCCAGATATGGGATTGTATGAAGCTTGTGCATTGTGTATCTTCGAATTAAAGGAATGGCTTCTGTTAGTGCAGCTGAGAAATCATATTTAGCTGAAGCAATTTCTGTAAAACCTCTATTATTTTAAGGTTGGATATAGTTATAAGCTTTTTAAAACAGGACAGATTTCTAACAAGAAATGAATACTCAATAGTAGTTACAGTATTTACACATGAAATTATTATGCAGTGAAATGATTAAAGAAAACTATTTCAACATTGGTTACTGTTATGGACATTTTAGAAGCTTCACGGAAGGAAAAACTCATTTGGAGCATGGAAGTACATATACTAGGGCTGTATATGCTTCAAAAATAATTCAGAAAAATATCCTTGTTTTTTCTCAGAATTCTACATGATGAACTTGATACATAGTGCTCTTAAAAGATCACCCCATTAAAGCACTGTCAGCTTTTAATGTGATTTATTAAAACAGAACCTTGAAAAAAAATGCAGTTGCTTTAAAATGGGGTTGTTTCTTTATTCTTGCATTTAATAAAATACCATTTCTAAAACCATTTTCAAAGCATATGCAATTCTAATGGACATCTTTATTTCACACAACAGTAAACATTACTCTATGTTTATTTACTGCAAAATTATTACTTCAATGTTTTTGTTCATTATTTTTCCAGCAATGTAAAACGTACAAAAATAGCATCTAATACCAAATTTTGCAAAATTCTGAAAAAATATTAGTTTATTGGAAATCATGCCTATTATAACATACAACTGTACTATTAGTAGGAAAATAGACGTTGTTTTTAAAACAATTTCTGTAGGATTTCACACAATGGTTCTTTATTCATTTTTTTAATTTCAAGATAGGAAAGTTGACAAATGTTTGAGTTGAAGACTGAAAGTGAGGATGAAGATTTAAAAATGAGTATATGTTTTTGCAGAGAGAAACCATCGAGTCTTCAAATTCCAACCTTTTTTTGTCATTTCGTTCAGTATCAGTTGCTCCACATATTAATTTAATGTGTCTCATAAACATGTCTGGTTGTCTTGCTCCTAGCCAAATGTCTCCAATATAAATTGAAGTAAGGAAAATGCTTGCAGCTAGGAAAAAGAAAATGATAGTTACAAAAGGAATATGCATAACGTGGGGAAACAACTTTGTTTCGAACATGAAAGAACCTATCCTATTGCAGAGATTCTGTCATGGTATGTCAGGCCAAAACCCATAACACTTTGATTCTTCCAAGTTTCCTACAAAGCAAAATTTAGATGAGTGAGACAAGGCTTATATATGCTATCCCCTGTCCTTTCACTTCTTAGCAAATCCCAACAGCATACCTCTCTGGTCTGCTCCTCAATTTTCTCAATACCTTCCCTTCTCAGCCTCTGTTGATGTCCCAGTATGACAGGTGCCACCATGCCATTCACGAATTGTCCCCATCAGCTTCCCTCCCCTCAGCTACTGATGTCTTAACTTTTCATGTGCTTCTCCCAGCATACTTCTGCCCTGATTAAAATTGACCCTTTTTATTTTGTACTGAGAATGACCTGCATGGAGAATGATTTAGATCCTGGATATCTAACATTTTGGCTTACCTGGGCCACACTGTGTGAGGAGGAATAGTCTTGGGCCACATATAAAATATACAATATAGTTAATGTGTATAAATCACATAAAGTTTATGGTCTTGTGGGCCTGCATTACTAGCTGTCCAAGGCTACATGTGCTCTGCATCTGGCAAGTTGGACATGCCTAATTTAGATATTCCTAGTTATTAGTATTTGAGCATCTGATTTATAGATTTAATTTGGTCTGCAAAAATTCTGCCACTGAATATCTCATCTTCCAACCCACTCATTATAACCTCAACCCCCCCAATATTTGAATAGCTACTAGAAATGTTGTATTGCCTTGACTTAAAAGTAGCAGAAAAACTAATACTTGAAGACTCAAACTGTTAAATATTACTGTACACTGTAGTTTTAAAGATATTAAAGATATCTATGGAGATTCTTAGTCATCCAGGTCGCAGTTGTCCCAAAGATGGTTTTTTAAAGGACAACTGGACTTTCTTGTTTTTTCTTGAAGATGTTTCACTTCTCGTCCAAGCTTCTTTATTTCTGAAGTTCTTGGATGAGAAGCGAAATGTCTTCAAGGAAAAACAAAGTCCAGTTGCCTTTTGAAAAAGTACCTTTGGGATATTAAAGATAATTTATGCTAAAACCCAATGTTCTGAACTGTTATTTGCCCTTGACTGTAACTCATCTTCTGGAAATTTTAATCTGTATTATGATATATAACAAATTCCAAGGTTTCATAAGCAGAACAGCCTTTTTTCAATTTGATGATTTCTCATCATAGCTATAAGTTAACAGACATGAAGTTTAGCATATGTCAAAGGCAACATGTAGGGAAAAGACAGAGTATTTTTGTGGGAAAAAACAAACAAATTACCTTTGTTCACTTCAGTCACTTCAGTGAGGCAGAATTTTTTCACTGTCCCGTGAAAATTATTTTCTGTCAGGCCCTGAGATTCTAGTAGATGGAGCATGATTCCATTAAGCACAGAGAGATCACTCAGTTTCACAACTTCAGAGGCATTACAGATGCTACTATAAAGCTTAAATATAGCCCTTTTCAGTGATCCATCTTTAAGAACATAATCCAATGTAAAGTTGTTTTCAAAAGCATATTTTTTAAACCACCAGAAAGTCAGGAGTACATTCTGAAGGTTCAAGTTGCCATCAAGAAGGGATGTCACAAGCCATCTAAATACTAAATAAGCAATCTTGCATGTAAGCTCTGGATTACTATATCCTTTCTGTTCTGTTGGAGATTTTGTTGATATTTCCAGTAAAATGGGTTCCCAGTGGATAAAAACAGATCTCAGAAGAGTTTTGCATTCATTTAAATAGATTTCTTTCCATACAGAGATTGCAGTTGCCTCTATTTCAGTTTTGCTCTTTCTCTGAGCTAGTCTGATTGATGCTTGCGAGTGTAACCGTGGTTTGTTCCTGTCTGTATTTTCTGAATTAAATAAAAGCAAAAACCCTTTTATAAACAATGAAATAAGGGTAATCAATGAGTAATTGATTATGAGTACTAAGGCAGAGATGAATCGACAGATATTGTCATGCAGATTAACTTTCTAGTGAGTATGCTAATTACCTCAAAAAGTAGCAGATTTAATATTAAATAAATACCAGCAAGTTAACTATTTCACCTCAATTATTAAAAAAGCAAATGTTAATATCTAACAAGATCTCTGGAACAGCACCTATTTTGTGCAGCAAAAATATTTGTATCAAATGCATCAAAGGTTTATACTCTTCGTCTTTAAAATTAACATTTTTTTTAAATTTAGCTAAACAGAATCAAGATGCATGTTCACATTATACAATATGAGATTGTTTATATACAATATCCCTACATATTCTCAGAGTATTTTAACTCCCTTACAGTTCTTCCTCAATCATTTCTCCCTCATCAGAGAATGTGCTTACATAGATACTTCATTTCCTAAATTAATCTTGACAAACCAAAACACTGATGATGTCCCTATTTCCAATGCCTTCATGTTATATAAAAAGCTTTTGACGCTGACTTTCAGTGGGCTGAACATGAAACTATTCAAATTAATTTGCCATCATGAATCAAGGAGATTTTTCTTCCAAATATATGCCTGCTGAATTCAATGTTGTAGAGTAACTCATCTGGCAAGCAACATATTGATTTGTGAGAGTTATTACAA